AAGGATGTAAAAATGTAAAAATACGATATTTTGTATGTATGTTTTTGGAAAGTGTCAAAGAGAAATCACAAAATTATTAATAGGTGCTAGAATTGTAAGTGAATTAATGAGATTTCCCTCCTTCTGCAGTTTATTATTGCTATAACTTCAATAGATTATGTGCATCTTTGTAGTCTCAAGCTGTCTCATCTCTGCCTCTGGCTCTCATTAAATCAGCCATGTGCCCTGGGTATTTTCTCTTCCAATGCTGGCCCAAACCCAATCCTCTACTGTGGTGATGGAGGTCGTGTCCTATAGAGGCAGGGATTGGGGGTCCGATCTCTTTTCTACTCTGTATGAACTCTGTGATTTCTGCCAGGTTATTTAACCTCTCTATGTTTTGATTTCCTTGTCTGTAAGGTGAGAGTTTTCTTGAAACCAATAATGTCTGTAAAACAATGAACACAATATGAGCAGATTCCATTATTATTTCTGATGCCGCCCTCATTTAAGGCCTTTGTGCTCTCACGCTTGGGCCACTGCAGTACAATCTACACTGATCACCTTGACTCCACATTCTCTGACAGGCCACCCTGTTAGGTCTCAGTGGAATAATCTTCCTAAAATAGGTTATTCGCATCACTTGGAAGTTTTCTCTGCTGCTCCCTGTTAACCACAGGGCCTGACTTTCAAGGTCGCCACAGTATGTCTATATACATTGAATATTTATACATATGAATGTTCACATAAGGCTCTTGTTATCTTTTCTAGCTGTGACTAATAAGAACATTGCTATCATAATGTTTTTTTATATCATTAAGTCGATACATTGTTAAAGCTTCTTACAATAGCTACCTGGTCATATGAGCTCATTCTCGTTAAGATGCCACGCCTACCATTTCAGTCAGACTCACTCTTTGGGAAGTTTTGCAAGCAATTTCCTGGTCATTTAGTGACCTTAGGTATCGCAAAATGTCTGATGTATTAAAGCAATTGTGATTCGTCAAAGGGGGCAGACACTGAATTGCAGTTCTTCTGACTCAGAAGTCGGGGCTGATGGCAACACATTTGCCAGTCCTGGGCAGCACTCAAGCGCCTGTGAAGCCCAGAGACACGACAACTCTTGCTCACCAGCGGCTTAACCACCTGCCTCTGTGAATCCAGATTTCAGGTTGAAATTGATGAAAATAGGAAATTAATGCCTTTGCATTTCATTGTTTCAAGCTAAGTGAGTTGGCTAAATGGACCAATTAGGATAACGCAATGTAGATTCCCACTTGAAGTAAAAGTCATTTTTTTTTTCCCCAGCAGCTTCAGTGATGCTACAAAAAAGGAAATTTCCCAACCAATTGATGATGAATTTTCAAAAGCCCTAAATTCCATCCTACTAATTATTATTAGTCTCGTGACCATATGACAGACTGTGATCTAAGCCCTAAATCCATTACAGCACATTCAATAAACACAGGCATCTAAAGTACTCTGTCCTCTGTGCTGACTTCAAAGTGCATTCAATATCTCGGTTCCCAAGTGCATTAGATTTTATTAAAAGCATTCTGCTGTGCCATATCTTCTTCCTAATTGGTTTATGGATAGCCCCCACCACTCAGGCCAATCCTAATTGCATTTTCCCACAAATCTAGTTTGATTTATGGTTCCTTATTTGCTCTATATTATTTATAATAAATTGGGGCAAAATTCTTGACGTTGAATAAAATTTATAGTAGTTCTTCTACAAACACGGGACTCCCATAAAGATTCTTAACAGTGTTTTTGCTTGTTTTTAAAGTAGTTTAGTCAAGTTCCATCCTTCTGTGTGGTTTCCAGTAATAATATCTTTATTACTTTTCCAGAGATCAATTATATTTCATTGGATTTTTTTTTTTTTATGTACAGATTTTTAGAATTACGTGGAATGATGGAATGGGTTATATGTAGAATATAAAAAATAGTATTTCCTCCTATAAGGTTTAAGTGGATACATATGTATTTGGGGCAGAAAACAAATATTACCCGGAGACACGGTTTCAGAGCATCTGCATACAGTTAGATAATGCCCCCGCCACACTAGCAAGTCCACGCTGTTAAGTGTAAATTATCTATAAAAATTCACGAAAAGCCTCTGGGCTTCCTGGACAGAAACGTGTTCCCTCCTTGAAAAGTTTCGACAGTTAGAATTTTGAGTTCTGAATCGGCAAGATCGGAGTCTGTTTAGAATAAGAGATAGAAGGGAAAAGAGATATTGAATTGAAGATCCAAAGAAAAGGGAGAAAATGGATCATCTCAAGCAAATTTCAGGCCAGTTAAACAAGTGGGAGGCTTACTGTCGACATCATAAAGAATAATTTATCATCTGGAAAAAATCTCAAAAGGATGGTTAGCAGACGATGAGCAGCAGAGAAAGGGTCTAAAAATGGTCGTGGGTGAATTTTTTAAGTGAGGAATTGGGTCTTTCATCTCCACTAGAACAGGGAATGGGCCCCCAACACGCAGGGTCAGTGGAGACCGCGTATGGGGAGCCTGCACTTCCGCCCCAGCCAGCAGGCGTGACAGACGCTTCCCCCATCCCGCTGGGGTGGTGTCATCGGAGGACTCCTCTTGGCGAGTCAGAGTCAGGGACTTCGCCGCGTCCAGCAGTGATGTGGCCACCCCCTTGTGTGCAGGGAGCAGGTGTGGGCCATTCCTATCCCCCTCACGCAGGCGTCAGTGGGGGCCTAGTGGTGCTGGAGCCCCACCTTCACCCAGTGTTAACGAGAAGCTCCCTCCGAGGGGGTCCAAGAGGCCCGGCGGGGCACCAAGTCTTCTACCAATGTGGCATTAATGAGATGACACCCTCCCCGAACTTCTGCCAGAGAGATGTCAGATAAACCAGCTGAAACAGAAGCTTTAAGATCCAGTCTCAAAATCCACCAACATCCATGCTTCAACAGAAAATCAGTCATCACATCAAGAATCAGGAAGATCACAAAGCAAACGGAGTAAGACAATCAATAGATGCCACTCCCTCCCCAGGCCTGCAACCGCCACCCCACTCTGTTGCTGAGTTGTTTGTTTTAGATTCTACTGTGAGATCGTATGGTATTTGTCTTTTCGTCTGACTTATTTCACTTAGCACAATGCCCTCAGGGTCCATCCATGTTGTAGCAAATGGCAGGACTTCCTCCTTTTTTATGACTGAATAATATTCCATTGTATAGATACCACATTTCCTTTATCTATAAAAAATTAATTGAAAAAAAATTAAAATGACATCTTTTGACCAGAAATCAGTGCTCTGCAGTAGCATTTTTTGCACATGTATGCAAACACACAAACACACATGCACACACACGTGCACACACACATGCACTATTGTGTGTTCTATATGTTTTGTTCTATAAATATGTATGCATGCCGGCTTAACTTGGCTAAGTGTTTTTCCTTTACATTATGTTCTACCGCTTTTGGGGGTGTTAAAATGGTGACATGGTGATAAGAGATGGTAACTTTTTTTTTAATGTTGTCAATTCCTTATCAAGTCCCAAAAATATGATTCAAGATTTACTGGTCCCTGAATTGGGCAAGTCGAGGTATCACAGCTCTCCAGTGTCCATTACACTGGTGGAGCCGAGCATGTCCTCCTGTGTGTGTGGCGTTCAGCTCAGAGCTCTGTGCGAAGTGGTCGTCGTATGCACACGTGGTTATTTATCGACTGAATGAATTGGGCTGAAAATGGTAGCTCAGAATTCTAATGCCAGAACACATTTCAACTCTTCAATAAGTAAGAGGAACACTTGCTTCCCCACTGCCCAATGTCACCTCAATTACTTACGTAATTGTATGCTGGGGATAATGTGCTATGTGGTGAAGGAAATTCAGACTTTAATAAATGCCTTTATGTTACCGCGCTCTTCAACTCCACTCCAGAATTTAATCATCTTAGTATTTCTTAATATCCCGTTCAGTTCCTAATATCAACCTTGGTGTGCGTATTAGCTAAAATGTATTTTCATTAGCTAATATGCTTATTAGATGTATTTTATATATTTCTTTGTTAAAATTAAAATTTTCACAAAAATATTAAAAATTAGCATAACAAATATTACTTAAATTATTGTCTATCTTGTCCATATTTAGAATTAACAAAATAATCATGTTTTTATTAAACTAATAAGTGATTAGTATTTACCTTTTTTTCAGGCAGGAAAAGATAATCGTGTTTAGACTATATGTAAGGAATAATACAATGGACTAGAATTTTCTAAATAGTTTACTAATCACTTTGAATTTTGTAACCTAATTAATTAGTTCATATATAAATAATGCACGTTTAAAAGATGTATTCAACGTGAATAACTCAATATGAAGTATTTCTTCTTTGATAAAAATCTCAATTTGGGGAATGAAAAATTCTCATGTAATCTATTTTACTGTTACTTTCTTATAAAATCTTATTATCAAATGTATGCTATGCACACACATAGTAGACCATTATTTTTCTTTTTTAAACTCTATTATTAGTAAATTTTATATCACATTTTTATAGTTTTTTGTTAATATTCATGACATGAAAATATATCCTACCATTTTATGTATATAGAAAGGTTTAAAGGAGATGCTTTAAATGTATTACTTTAGTATTCCACAAAATAACACAGACCCAAGATTAGAATTTTCAATTATTAGAAAACTTAAAAAGTTTTAACACTCTGAACATACATACACTTATCTAAATATTTTTCAAACAAAAATTCAGGCTTCTCTTTTTTATAAAATAATATTTTTCAGGTGACACTTTCTAAGAATGCTTCTCAAGTAGCTTGAAATAAAGTAGACCCTTAATAGTGATTATAGAATCATTTTCTTCTCCAAATGTTTATACTAGTGAGATTTTTGTCGTCCATTATTAGTAATTTAGCCTTGATCGTGCAGACTATTTTACACAAACCGAACCTGAAATAAACCCAGTCTTTTTCACTGTGCATTTTTTTTTAATTATGTTTTATTCTGATTCCTTTATTTATTTATTTTTTTCCTTGAAGGTGAGAGGCCCTCCAGCTGCAGGAGCATTTAAAGAGAGACCAACCAAGCCCACAGCTTTCCGAAAATTTTACGAGCGGGGGGACTTCCCCATCGCCCTTGAGCACGATTCGAAAGGAAACAAAATAGCGTGGAAGGTAAGTCGGGGCACAGCCGGAAGGGTTGGCTGTGCTTGTGGGGTGACATCTCCCAAGGCCAGACACACTGGGCTGATAGGTAAATAAACTGAGTGATTTCTCGGCAAATGGAAGAGGGTGGGTGAGCTCTTAGAGAAAGCCCCCCCTTGTGTCAGCTGTCCACCTCGACTAACAATTAAATTGCAGCCTGCAAAAAAGAAAATGACAGAGTAGCTTTGCCTCAGAGAACTGTCTGGTACCCGATTCATCTCTATTTCTATGAGAACCTGGCAGCCCAGCCTGTTGTAGGCAGTCCATCACATGATGGCACCGGTGGCTGGATGCGGGAAGCAGCAGCCATTTATCTCCCCCAGATTTCACCTTCCTGCAGGACACTTCCAAACGGAAGCGTTAGCGACATAAGTGGATAGGTCAAGGTCATCTGCTCCCCAGAAATGCAGAGTGAGACACAGAGTCGGGCCGGCTCCCAGCGCTGTGCCCTCCTCTGAGTCTGCAGCACGTGTCAGCCCGCGCGGTGGCTGTCACACGTGCCCTGTTAGAGGCTGACCTCCACCGCTGAAACCATTACAGCACCGACATTTTTCTGACAATAGGTTAATTGGCTTCAAAATAAATGCATCGCCTAATGACTCCTTTCTAATGTGGCTGTGTTTCTTTCTAAAAGGCTCACTGACGTTATTTGTAAAAACTTGCCAATCTCTTAGCTGGAGAAGGCTGTTGCATTTAATTTGAAAAATGAATGCTGAATAGCTTCTGCTATTTAATTGTTTTTGTCATCGATGACTTTGCTTTGGGTGATATTTATCAGCTAAAAGGACTTCTCAGCCTAAAAACAGAAAAGCAATTGCATATGTGTGAGTATCACATCAGGTTAAGGAATATAAAAGCTTTTTGCCAAATATCATTTAAAGTAAGCGATTGACCCATTTAGCTAAAAAGTCCCACAACAGTGTCTGAAGGTGATCATAGGAATTGTTTGTAAATTAGTAACAAGTTAACTTATGTTAAAAAATAAAATGATAAAATTGAAGAATTCATCAAAGTATCTTAGAAAGATTTATTAAAATTAATCTCTTCCTTCCTTTATGGAAAAAATAAAAGAATTGTTTGCATTGTTTCTATGTCCTTAAATGTTTTCATATAATTTTCAGGCATTTCCAAATCTTGAGCAGACATTTGGTATTCGGTTACTGAGCTTAGAATTATTACAAATTATTTGGCCAGAGAAATCTGAAGGTGTCCTCGTTATTGGGTTCTGGCATTATTATTATGCTTCCAATTGTCTCTATTAAAATGTAAAATTTGTTATGTGAAGATGTGCACGGGATGAGAAAAAATGTATAGGACGCGTAATTAATTTAGATATTTTAGTTAACATAAGTACATGTTCCCTAAACTTTACTGTGATTTTTGGGTTTGTTTACATTTGATAGTTATGTGGGTTTACGTTTGTCTGTCTATGCGCTGGTTCGCACGAAATAACACGGTACAGGTTCTTAAAAACCTGATTTCTTTGAGTAAAAGAATAGGCCATATTTCTCCATAAAAAGAGAATGGATTTGTTCTTTTAATAATAGCACAAAAAATCGTGTCAATAAAAAGAATTTATGCATTTTTTGACCCGTTCAAATAATCTTATGAGTAACTTTTAGAAATGTCAACAGACTAGAAAAAGTTTATCTTGAAAAATAATAAGATGAATCATTTTGCTTTATCTTTGATAATCCAATGGTCAGAAGGGATAGAAACTGCTTTTCTTTTTTATAGCTGTATTAATTCTTTTAAGCTGCTTTGACTATAGTACTGATTCAGCAATCTAAAAAGTCAGATTAAAGAGGAAGCCATTTATTTGCTGCCGCCGGTAGGATAATAGCGTACGTTAAAATAAACGTCCTGTAAACCTGACTTCTCTTAAGGCTTTGCCAACCACATGTCAATTATACCACTATCATATCGAAAACAAAACATTGAAATTATTAAGTATAATAATGAGGACAGTCTGGTACTTGATAAGAGCATAGGACTTATTTAGGATACCATGGGGCCTTGAATATTGAAGGAAGCAGGGCCCCCTGCAAGACAAACAAACAAGTAAACAAACCAGCCCAGGCCCCTGCACTGTACTGCCCTGGGTGTAGACAGGCAGGGGTCTGGGCAGGCAAACCTCATCTTCATGTCACACCTCGCCCCTCGCACAAGGCTCCTGAGTCGCTGTGCCTCTCCAGGAAAATACCTGTCCCCTTTCCACACTCCTTCCGACACCCCCAGGATGCCAGGGGAGTTTGCGAGTGAGCGCCCGACATGGTGTGAGAAGGTCTGCTTCTTTTATCAGAATTGCGAGAGGCCTGTGACTCTGAAGTATTTAGGGGTCGCTGCTCCGGACCCTGCGTGATGAAGGCTGAGCCAGCATCTCAGTCTCCTTCCTCTCTGTGTGTCGCTGGTGGAGAACCCTGTCCAAGTCCCCTTTTCCTTGGTCATGTGGGAAATCATCATCTATTCTTGAGATAACAGGCGTTCTGAGGTCACAGCTTATAAACGGCCTGATAAATTCAGAATACAGAAGAGGGGCATAGAGACAGGGAAACGCCTTTGCGTGCGTGGGCCTCCCAGCCCACATCCGGATCCGACATCGTGGTTTAATGCACATGGAGGTGGCCGTGTGCCCCACATGCTGAGCAGCAGGGCAGGCCGAATGCCGTGACGGGTGCCGCTGGCTCTGTCCCTCGCGGTATCGCTAACATCCGAGCAGGGCTGAACGCAGCTTTCCGCGGTGGCGGATGTGCCCGCGTCTGCACCACCATGTCGCTGCTGGCCATATGTGGCCGTTAAGCAAGCACACAGAATGTGCCCAGTGAGACCGGAGAGCTAACATTTAATTTTCATTAATTTTAATTCAAATCGCCACATGGTTACCATATGAGAGAGGGCTGCTCTAGATTAAGATAATGGTAGTCAAAAAAAAAAAAAGCCCAAACTTGCTAGCCAGACAGAAAACTGTTGCTCTATGGGAATTACTGTTAAAATGAACAAGTAGGACTGGTATGTGTATTTTTATCACGGTTGTCTGTGCTTTTCATACGTTCCTTGGTAAATATGAAAAAAGTTTTACGAAATATTTGTAGTGAAATTTTCTGTGCACTTGGCAGTGGCAAGCGAGCTCTCTGTGACAGATGAATAGACCTGACCTAGAATATGCAACCTACCAGACGAGCTCTGGCATGGTTTTTTTTTATTTTTAAATACGCATTTCCTAAATATAGCCAGGGGTTCTTGATTAGCAATGGTTCAAGCCATTTGCAAAAGTGAAACAATTACTTAAATGTTTTCAATCTGCTCCCTTCTCTGCATTGTTCACTCTCCTGTCATTCAGGAAACAGGACTTCATTCTGTCGCTGATAGTGCCAGGATCCAGAGCACAGGCGATGCCAGTGACAAAGAATTAACCTTTGCGAATGTGTCACAAACCAGATAATCAGCAGGACCTCTGGACATTTAGAAATTGTGTTTGAGTTTCCTCATCTTAAATCTGCATGCTTCGATTTCCTGCGCTGCGGGCAGGGAAGGGCTCGACCCCAAGGTCTCCCCCGCCCCTGGAAGGAGAAGACACGTGGGTGGGTGCAGACCTGAGCAGCAATCCCTCCTGTGGCCTCCTCCTCTGCGGCTCAGAGGCAGGTGAAGCGAGGCTCAAGTGTAGAAGGTTCCTTTGGTGAACAGGAGTCTTAAATTGCACAAAAACCAAATATTGAAGCCTGCGCCGTAGGGAACGGGAAATCACGCGCGACTTCGCACTGCTTTTCTCTGAACTACGCTCTGGCTCCTGCTCCGGGCACTCTTCGCCCCCATCCGTTTAAAGCAGCCTTCAGGCCTTTGTTTCTCTCCCCGCTCCCCCTCCCCGCTCCTTCCACCCTCTGGTTCCTCCTCCTCCTCCTTTCCATCTTCTTCCT